GTATCCCACTTCAGGAAAGAAACTTCTGCGGTGACAGCTGTGTGTGGTTGTCGTAAGTGAGGTCGTGAGTGTAGATGGTGAAGAGAGAAACGGTGTGAGAGGACAGTGCCCTGTTGGGGCCCAGAACGCAGACTACCACCTCAGACCCCCAGCGCCGCACGTACTGTGTCGGGTATGAGACGGTAGTCGATGGTCCATGCAGTTGAGGCTACTGTCCACTCCTGCGTACCTCCATCTTCCCCCGCAGCTAGCAGTACCGGCCTGATGGTGTTGAAAGGCACTGGGAGAAGTCGGAAGAACACGACCCTCACAGCGCTCCCGGTGGTCCAGGTGGGAGGAACGAGCAGTCCGCGCAGGAATAGATGACGGCGTCCTCTACTCGATATTGGGCCTGTAGGGACCTGCAGCGGGTCAGGGTGGGGCTGACCACAGAGCGGGAGATGGGTGAGGATGAGCCGCTTCATGGTCTTCTTCAGGTGGGAGGTCTCAGTGCGAATGGTCTGTTGTGAGCCGGTTCTTGGCTTGCGCGGTTTTAGGACCGGGATTCAAAAGAGCGGTCTTCCACGGACAGGGACACTTCTCCAGCGGCTGGAGGCTCAGGTTGTAGATGTAGGTGAGGGACATCAGAGGCTGTGGGACCTGACTGTCTAACCAGCTCACCGGTCTTGCGAATTTCCTGAGATGGGCGGCTCTGCTCAACACAAAGCCCTGATGGCTTGGCCCTTGCTTGATTCCAGTACAGTGAACCATGAGTTGCCCCGTGAGTTGCCCCCGATATTTTCAAAAATTTCCTGGATCCGGGGGATGGGGTGTCGATCAGGGCAAAGTCTTTTGGTTCAACAGTCTGTAATCCAACTTAGACGAGGGTTCCATCTTTTTTTTTGGACACTTACAATAGGTGACGATAGTGTGACATGAACTTTTGAATCCATCTCTCTACTCAGCGATTCTTGAATGTGAGACTTTACCTTTCTGGTAGAGATGGACGATGCGATAGAGTTATAAGACCTTTGGACTTTGGACGTTGTGTTTTAACTGAATGACATTTCATTTTGAGAGTTCTTTTAATACATCCGTGTCCCAATCGTCTTTCAAAACCACGTGGCTCTCCTCTCTCCGCATATGCCGCTTGACTTTTTGCTGCTGTTCTGGAGAGAGTGATGGCTCAGGTCCACAGGTGGATCCCATAGTCCCCTTGTGGCCCTCCCATTTACCCTGAGCTGTTGATTGCCGTGCTGCCCTCTTTCCTCCTTGGGTTCCAAGGGCACCACACTTTCAACACTATGCAGCCAGCCCTAGTGTTGTACAGCCACACATTGTAATAGGCCTCCTTATCTATTTTTCCAGTCCACTCCAACTCAATAGGACACCTGTGAGCCACTGTTCCCACAACAGTCGTTATCCCACTTTCATTTAATGACGCTCTGACCCAGGCATATTCGTCCACTAAGCTTAGCGGTTTGTCTTTGCGTACTAGTGAGAAGCAACTACCAAGATGGCGCGGCCAGGGCGTCGCTGCAAGAGCTCCGTGGTGCACGTGATTTTAGCTCGGTCAGGGCTCTTCTTTTTGCGGAAACTTAGAGACAATTACCACTAACCTAAGATTCTGCTTAACTTGTTACGGCTGCACCATTTGAGAGTTACTTGTTGGTTCTGTGACTGTGTGGTTCGGTAACTTCACAAATAAAGAAAAAGAGCGTTTTTTTTAAACAAGGTTCTTGCTCTGCAAAGAAGGACTGTGGGCTGTAAAGCTTCCTGTTCTGGAGGTTCTTATGAATCCAGACTTTTAAACAGAGCTCTTAAACTATCTATGAGCTCTTCTGGCCACCCTGGGAAAGCCATGGATCCAGCTTCTTCCTCTAGGCAGAAGATATCGGTCGCTGAGTGCAAGACATTCGATAAACAGAGAACTTATAATTCCTGCTTTTACCCTTGTATCGTTTTGTTGATCGGTGCACAGGACAGCTGTTTTTTTCTATACTTTTATTTTCTAGTGTATGTGTATTTTATAAATTACTTGTATCGTGCTATTTGGTCTGTCGGTGCACACAGAGTACCTTTTTTGCAAATGTCATTCCACATGTAGTTTTTATACGGCAGCATGGCTAATAAAATGCAATCTGAATTACGAGGGCTGTCTGGTTGAAACTGGGCATCAGTCCTTACCAACGAATGTACCAAAAGTGCAATTGTTATTAGACGAGGCTGAAACATGAGTGACTTACGACGAGCCAATAGCCCAGTGGTCGAACTGCCACATTTATAACTGTGGTTACACTTGCCTTTGAGGATTGGTGATCTGGCAATGATGACACCCCCTTTCCCGGGGGCCTCTGAGCGTTGCCTGTGATAGTTCTGCCCGGCGGGTGGTTAGATCTGTGTGGTGGTGGGGGTCTTTGGAGCTTGCTGGAGGCTGGAGAGCTGTGTAGTCAGTGGTTGCTATAGCTCACGATTGCTTTATTGCCTTGATCCACTTTTTCCAGTCAAGTTCTCACGTTTGGCGAGGGTTTCATGGGGTTGTTATTGTTGGATGTTGGGCTGTGTCTCCCTGTATTGTAAGTCCTCCCCTTGCAGAAAATATATCACTGCTCTTGACTTGGTCGCTAATTGGTTTTTTCATTCCATTCCAGTGAGTATGCATCAGTAACTTTCTCCAACAAAGCACTTCAGACACATTTGAATCTCGTAGATACTGGCTTTAAATCAGTTCTTATGGTGTCGTCAATCAGCCTCGTAAGTACAGTTAGCAAGAGTAGCTTTGATTAAATCCAGGGCTGTATTTGCAGTACACTTTCGGGCCCTTTGGAAGCAAATAAAAATTTGCCGTCTTAAGTCCATTGCTCTGAGCACAACTGATTGGTGTCTCCTGGCGGTCCAGTTTCTGTCCGACTCCACTGTACCTTTATTTAGTGCTTTTTGGATTGGACTCTCCAAACTGGAATATCCAAGTTTGTCTTTTGTTGTGTGCACCAATCTGTCATTAGCGTTATTTTCTTGTTCTGTACAATTGGTGCACAAAAGGTGGGGTGGCATAATTGGGTCACTAGTCACATTTGGAATCGGCACCTGAGATTAGCGTGGAGTGCAGCAGTGCACTTTGGGTATGTGATGCTTTAGTACCTGCTGTATCCAGAGAGGGGAGATCTGGCGCAAGCAGGGAGTAGCTGCGGGTACACTCTTTAATTCATCAATGCGGTCAGTAACTATGAGCAACAACGATAATCCTTCATCCTCGAGGCGAATGACACCTTCTTCTCCTTCACGTTCTGTATGATAGTCTCATTGCACGAGGGTAAGGTCTTGTCCTCTTCACTCACAGGAGATCCCAATGATTGAACAAAGATCATATAAATCCGCAGCAGACAAAGTCATTAGATTTTCCTCAATCCTGTCCCATTGCATTCTCCCAACTCTCTGACATCTTCCGACTTGTAGTAGACTTAATTTGGTAAATGTTTTATTGTACGTTATCGCAAGCATAAAGCTCTATTATTGTTTGGGATAATTATCTAAATTCATAGAGTACTCATTAATAGCCACATTGAGACTGGCCTGTGTTCTGTGGCATCAACATAAGTGCATTTTTGTTGGCTGTTTGTAAAAAAATAATAATAATAATATAGAGAATAGCTATGAGATGTGCGTTAGTTTAATATTTTCGCTTACATTTTTTTCTGCTAATATGAGAGAAGCCGAACTGTGAAGTATTGTATAACCCAGGGTAGACTGTAAACAATGGCTATAAGCATGAAGCCATAAACAGAGCCATCCCCTCTATAAATTGGCTAATCTATTTCAAACTACAATCACATTCTAGGCTATTGCTAAATGTGCATCTGTTTTTTTTCTGGATCCCACTTCCTGTTTAAAGTCCATATCAGACGATGATTCAGTGAGATGCACTTTTTGGATCTCTGCCAGAAACAAATGAAGGACATCCGGAACCTCATGTAACGTGTTTGAGAAGGCCAAGAAGAAAAGGCTCTTGAGTCGCTAATATAATCTAATGGACAATGCTAATTTAATATGACTTCATTAGGACATGCTCTGATTGGATAACTAGATTGCAAATGTCAAGCTAAATATTGTGTAATTTCTGGAAAGACAGACACGGCAAATTAGTTCAAATTACTTCAAGTCTATACACTGTTAGAACATGCAATCCCGGTGACAAATCATTTTGGCTTGAATATGAACATTATATTAAAGCTTTGATCTCTAATAAATACTGCATTTTTTTCAACCCAACAGAATGAGCCTTGTTAATGTCATTTTTACAACTCTTATTAGAAAATGTTTTATCTTTTGCATACTTGTAAGAAAGAGCTGAGTGAGTGAGGGTGGCGCTTTTTGTTTCGCTTATCTGTCTGAAAAAGCTAATCAACAATCTACATTTATGTGACAACTGTAGTGACGGAACCATATATTTTGAGAACTAGAAAATGGGTGGTATTACATCCATTGTTCCATGTTTGGTTATTTGAAAGTTAAGTACCCCAGCTTTAGTGCAGCCTGGATTCAAGATAGCATGGTGTAGTTTTTGAGACAACACTAATAGGAAATACATAAATATGAAAAAAATCTATTGTGAACCAAGGCCCATCTAGTTTCACAATAAATTGAAACGTAGAACAATGGGAAAGTACCTTTATCAGCACATACATGGAGTGATTGAGTTGATGTTTATTTAAGCGTTTTACTTCTGTTTCTAATTCATCTGTGCCTTTGTAAAGCACTATATAAGAACACTGTAGGAGTATTATTATTGTTGTTATCCTTATTATTGATATTTCATTCATGTGTGTATATTATCTCTGCATAGTCGACCTCTTTTAAACTAATTTTTCCCACAGACAGCCAGACTCAAGTAAAACTGTGATACATATTCATCCTAACAATATGTATTTGATTGGTGTAGTGTCTGTGTGTGCTCTTCTTGTCAGGTGCGCCGCTTGTTGCACTGAGATGTTCCTCTAATTGAAGCAGACTTTGAAGCAGCCATGCCCTGCTCCTGTGCCCAGTGGAGGCGGTGGATCCGTCCCTTGGTCCTGGTTCTTTACGCTCTTCTCCTTGTGGCCGTGGTGCCGCTCTGCATCTGGGAACTGCAAAAAGACAAAGTAAGATACTAAAAGAGGAGAAAGCGACCATCTGTGCCACACATCCATAACCCTATCTATAAGCAATATAGCACCTGAGTCCAGAGTCCCAAAGCACATGCCAGACCTATTGTGAATGCTTTTAATGGTAGGGGAAACCGTAGCACCTGGAGGAAACCTACGCAGACACAGGGAGAACATACAAACGCCACTCAGAAAGGCCCTGTTTCCGACCGGGATGTGATAAATGCTATGTTTGATGTGTTGTATGTATAACTTGGTTTACATACCAAGGCAAAAATGTTAATATTTAAAACTTATTTTGGAGATTATGAATATATCGCGAACCCGGTTTTCTTTCTACTTGTTAGTGATTGGGTGAAGCCACAAAAACCTTTCTCCTGACCCTGATTAGAAGTCGCCATCCCCCAGTTCTCATTTCCACTTTAACATATCTGACGGGTTGGAGTCTTTTGTTGTAGTTGTAAATGAGGGTCTTTATCTTCTCTGATGGCAGATGGCAGATGGTAAAGCTGGCTTGGCAAAAAATACCTGTGCATTCCTGGGCTGCCTTGCCTGAACTGTACATTTGAGATCTCCCAAGAGCGATTCAATGATGTAAATAATTTAAATTAAAAATAGATAAGTTGGTTTCACTCAAACCACTAACAATAAGTGGATACGTGGATATGGCCAAAGCAATTTGATTTCTGGGAGTGTGAAATCACAATTATATAAAGCTATTATAGATAGTGAAGAAGATAGTGAAAACCTACTTCAAAACCTACTTCAATTCATAGACATACGTATTATTTACAAACACCCTTTTTCTTCTGTGCTTCTTGAGAGTTCTGGCTTTTATATCTCTAATGTGTATGTAAATCAAATCAATTATGCCTGTACTTTGTAATATACACTGTAAAAATGATAAAACATGAGGTAATAATGGCTATAATAAGCATTTTGAGTACATTCTGACTGTCTTAAAACAATATTTGCCAATGGGACAAAGCTATTTTATCTTAATTCAAGAAATGTTGCTCTATTTTCTCATTCCAAGGGAGACATTTCTTTTATCTTTTCAAAAAAAGATAATTTTACTTTGTCCCATTGGCAAATCATATTTTAAGGCTGTCAAAATGTGCTCAAATTAAGATACATTTTGCCAGATTTGAGCAGTTTTTGACTTCATGTGTGATTGTGTGTTGTAATGTGTGATTTGCCAAATTCTGATGTTATTTTTGGTTCGTGTAGGTTGGCACGCACAGTAAAGCGTGGTTCATCGCTGGCGTGTTTGTTTTCCTGACCATCCCCATCTCTCTGTGGGGAATCCTGCAGCATCTGGTCCACTACACTCAGCCAGAACTGCAGAAACCAATCATCAGGTAAGTACGCACGCACACACACACACACACACACAGGTCATTGTTACAGCATGACAAAAAGTATACGTAGTCGCTTGTATTGTTTGTGGACAAATCTGAAGTCTGTATCATTCCTCCTTCATCCATGCGTTTACCAAAAAGACACAATGCCAATATTAGCTGCAACAAGAAGCCAGTGGTCTATAATAGAACGTTTACTGATTCACAATGTGCCTAAGTCCTGGAGAGATTCAGAATCGTTGATGTTATGATGGAGAATGTTCATCAAAATGTCCTAAATTATCATTATATATGATTATTATAAATGATAAAAAATGAGGTAGTAATGGCTTGAATCAAGTGTTTTTATTTTAATTTTAATTTGAGTAAATTCTGACTGCCTTAAAACAAGCTTTCCCAATGGGACAAAGCTATTTCATCTTATTTTCTCTTTCCAAAGGAGAGCATTTTGCCATGACCTTGTTTTATGGCAGTCAAAATGTGATCTAAATGGATCATGTGAGTGTGTATTGTGAAATTCTGATGTTATGATTGAGAATATTCAACAAAATGTTCGAAATTATAGCAATCTCCATGGAAACAAGCAAGAGAGTGGCCAAGGTTGATGCCACATTGTGACTTGGTATGTTGGTGAAAGAATAATATTAATTCATTCATTCATTCATTCATTCATTTTCTGCCCCTATATTTGTCCATTTCTGGGTCGGGGGGAATGAGAGCTGCTCAATGCTCAAAGCACCAGTCTCTCATTAATCCTCCGGCAGGTGGTGGGTCCACAGGAAGATGGCTGCTACATTAGTAGTGCCACAGCCCTGGTGTTTCAGCGGGGGCTTCAGGACATATCGACAGCAGCCATAGTGGGATCAGTTGGAGTAGGTCCCATGGTGGATTCAAACCCACGACCTTCAGGCCCAAGGGCCAATGCTCTACCAACTGAGCTACTGTCGCCCCCCTGAAACAATAATATGATCATGCAAATAGCGGATAATCCACAGGAAAGGTGAAGGGCAGTGTGACAACCCTGCTCCTCTCACACATTATTTAACTGAAGTACCAACATGGAGAGGGTCTATTCATTTTATGTTCAATTTCAGAATCAACTCAAATGCTAATGATATTCTCTTGTCCTTTAAACGATTTACTCTTGATCAATTTTCTCAATGACAAATTGAAAAGAACTAAACATGTTGTTGTCTGTATTTGCCAAGTGTGACGTCACAAAATGGTATCTAAACATGTTGCTTCAAATTCATTCATAAAACAATAAATATCCTAACTATAAGGTTTACATACTCATTTGTTATGGCTTATATTACACTGTCTACAAAATACTCACACCATGGAAGTATGAAATATTGTATTATATATTTTAATGTAAACAAAGATCTTGAAGTACTTGACTTCTGATGTTGATTCACGAACATATAAATGCGATAGAAACTACAAGCAACATCTAAATACAAAATTAGTTTTAATGTTCAACACAAAAAACACATACCAGTGGCCATGTTCCACTGTCCACTGACTCTCATTTTGCAGAAATCCAAACTTTCTTCTTGTGTCAGGCTTTTTAGAAAGACGATAGAAGCTTTTAGGACTTGATCACTGGACACGATACAACCATTGTGCTCTCCTGTTTTCTAATACTTTTTGCTAACCAGTGCGTCATGTGACCGTAGGTGACATCACCCCGAAGTACACTATACTTACCATCATATACTATGGTACCTTAGACCTCTCATTTAAAGCAAGTCTCTGAATGTTTTCTCCTCTTCTTCCCATCAGGATACTATGGATGGTGCCAATCTACAGCTTGGACAGCGTGAGTCACTTACAGAAAAAAAAAAAAACAGCTTGAGTTGGAAATAAAGCAAGCAATAACCTAAAAAACAAACTTAATTTTACTTTCACTTCACTCTTGTTTTGGTCTCTGGTCCAATTACAAATATTGATAAATGATAAATTTGTAATAGTACTTTTGCAAACCTCCGCATACAAGTGCATTTAATTATTCTCAGATAATGAAGGTAAACTATTAATGGATGAATGTAAATCTAAAAGCGGATAATTTTGAAGACAAGGACAGAAAAATAATCGATTACGCCTGTCACAGTTACTATGCATTATTTAAAGTTATTTTTAAACGTGAAACCTAATGAAGATGATTCACATTGTAAATAAAAATACACACTTGTCTTTTGTCCTGCAGTGGTTGGGCCTGCGCTATCCCAGCCTGGCCATCTACGTGGACACCTGTCGCGAGTGCTACGAGGCTTACGTCATCTACAACTTCCTGATTTTCCTGCTGAACTTCCTGAGTCACCAGCACCCCAACCTGGCCATGATACTGGAGGTGCAACAGCAGCAGCCACACCTGCCACCCCTCTGCTGCTGCCCACCCTGGCCCATGGGAGAGTAAGCACCAAAGGAGGCAGATAATGCAAAATCAACTTTTTCTTTGAGATTGTGTCCATATTACATCCCTGTTCATTATCAAGAACAGACAGAGGGTTGTTTTTAGATCCGTCCACTATTATCAGGAACTACTGGCACAATCCGCCCCTTCTGTCTAAAAGCTCAGGAAGTCAGAAGGTTACGGAGACATCTCACAGTTTCTGAGATCGCAAGAAAGCGGCATCAGTCCTGTAATAGTATGATGTCAAGGTATTGCCCCAAAACTTCTCTGGGGAAAATACTTCTTTATAATCACATGACTGTGTTTGCAGCCTTTCATTGTTTAATTTGTAACAAAACTTCTCTCCGGTGGTATCTTTGGGAGATGCAGATGGAAAGCTTTTCTTTTTTGGACACTTGATTCTTGTATATATTTTTCACTTAAGATAGATATTCAGGTTCAAAAACACAACATGGCAAAGTAAATAGTCATACTTTCATTTTAATGGACACAAAATTAATAATATTTATCTTTAAAGTGTAAAGAGCACATTATCTCACAGAAGATTTGCCAATACGACGAACAAAACATTTCATTATTTAATTGTTACATGTGAGAAAGAGAAAAAAAATTGTTCATTACATGCAGATCTTGCAAAAATTCCATATTGGTTCCATCATTATTTTTGTTATTATTATTATTAATATATCTGCCAGAGCGAGACCCATTAGTGGCTTTTGCTTGTTGTGTTCAGAGTCCTGCTGTTCCGGTGTAAACTGGGGGTGCTTCAGTACACAGTGGTCAGACCGGTCACCACCGTCATCGCTCTGTAAGTACACAAACATTCTTTATTATCAAATTCGGAATGATTAATTCATCAACAAATACTCGAGGACTGTTTAAAGACGCAGGCGGAGATGCACAAATTCAACAAAGCACAAAGTTTCTTGATGCTGGAGAAAAATCACAACTTTTAACTTAACTTTTTTTTTTAAAGACAGGTCTGAAAGTCGACTGGCCAACACCATGCATGTGTTTAGAAGAAGGAGAAGCTAGGAGTGCTCAGGGGCACATAGAAACCGGTGCTCCTCTGATAGGGCAAGCAGAATGTCTTAAAGGAAAAGAGTCAGAGGCGCTCGGATAGATGCAAAAGATTTCTCAGTTTAATACGCCAACGTGTTTCAACAAACGGTTTTCATCAGAGCTTGTGACCATACATGTATTTGTTTGATTATTGTTATCACTTCTAGACACTTTTAGGGAAAATACATAAACCATAGTTGATATGTGCTGATTAAGAAGATGTGGAGCTTTGACATAGATTTTTCTTTCATGAGTTATAAAAAAAATAAAAAATTCTCCTTTAGTATTGAGTCCCTGAGAGCTACTGTGATAGATCTATGCATCCATCTATCTATCTGAGGATCAGCGGCTCTAATTGAAGCTCAATGTCCAACTTATCATGTGACTGAGCTCTGAAAGAATGCCCAACCACTCTTTTTGACCACTTGTATTGAGCACGATCAAGTCTTTTTACTCCAAACTAAGGACTTTTCAGCACTTTTCACCACGCTCTCTCTCCCAGGCCGTAAAGGCTCATTTTGAACTGATTCTCTTAATTTAGGATCTGTCAGCTGTGCGGAGTGTACGATGAAGCAAACTTCAGCTTCAGAAACGCCTGGTCCTACCTGGTCATCATCAACAACATCTCTCAACTGGTAAGGGATTTCAACACTAATGGAATGTATGTCTCCAAATATTGCCAACTGTGATAAAAACGCATAAACATATATCTATAAATCTAAAAATGTGTTTTCGGACGACTCCATGTTTGTTTTAGGTAAATGTAACCACTTGACTTTATCGATGCTTTAAATCAGGCATGTCAAACTCCGGCTCACGAGACAGTTTTTAGTAGCCCCTAAAATGATTTTCAATTATCAATATCAACTTGCAGCAATGGTTATGTGCGACCAAGGCATTTTTTAACCCAACACATCATTATAAGTTGAATAGTTGAATATAAAACATTTATACTATAATTTGAACTTTATAGATCCAGTTTTGGTGCGGTTTTGGTTAAATCTAAACTCTAAACACATTCTTATTTCATAAAAATCAACCAGAAAATAGTAGTGAAACTCATGTCAGAGAAAAGTCAGAATACCATCATAATGAAAAAAATAAATAATTATAAGGCAAAATGAAATCCCTTCTACCCTTTTGGCCCTCAACCAGTTCCTATTTTTTGTATTCGCCCCCTGACCAAGATGAGTGAACCACCCCTGCTTTAAATCATAAGAAACCTACCAATATAGAAGCAGCACATGTGTAAAATGTATTAAACTGATAGATCTAAAATATAAATTCACTGCTGTGTGTCTGCCTCACAGTTTGCCATGTACTGCCTGGTGTTGCTGTATCGTGCTCTGAAGGAGGAGCTTACGCCCATCAGACCCGTCGGCAAGTTCCTCTGCGTCAAACTGGTCGTGTTTGTCTCCTTCTGGTAAAAACAACATTCTTATTCAATCCAATTCATTTGTTTATTGCCCCAAATCACACCAGCCGAGGACTTTTAAGTGGTCGTGACAGATCAGACACTCAAAGACAGGAAATGCAATAATAACAAACAAATACTGTAGGAGGCATTGGACCATAGACAGCAGGATGACCAATGTACATACAGTAAATGTTGATAAATTTCCATAATTTACAGTAAGTGTGTGTAAAGTACTACATAATGAGACAGACAGAATGTTGGTTTGGGGAAAAATGGGGCAAAGTGGTTCATTGTAAGACAAATCTAATCTTAACCCTTTAATGATTTATTCAACCATTTGGAAAAGGCCTATAATAGAAAAAACTAGGGCTTTAAACAAAAAAATAAAACAAAAAACATATAAAACTATTTGTGTTGGTGCTCCTACATCAGAAAAATGTATCGCTGTCTTCAAGGAGTGAACATTAAAGGGTTAATCTAATCAAAGACATATTTAGTTGCGCTCTTTGTCACTTCTGCTGTTTCTCCAAAGGCAGGCCGTGCTGATCGCAATCCTGGTCAAAGTCGGAGTGATTTCAGACAAACGCACGTGGGACTGGGAAAGTGTGGAGGCTGTTGCTACCGGACTACAAGTACAACAACAAAAAACATCATAAATATTTCAATTCTAATAATACTGCGGTGAATGTCAATTAACTGTCTTTCCCAGGATTTTATCATCTGCATTGAGATGTTCCTGGCTGCCATCGCCCACCACTACACTTTCTCTTACAAGCCTTATGTACAGGTGAATGTTTTTATTTGACTTCATATCTGTGAGTAGTAAGCACAGCAGTAGTAGTAACAGCAGAAACAGAAGAAGGTGGGCGGGTGCCAATACAACGCTATGAGAAAGACGCATTTTTATGAAAGCGATAATAGAAATGAAAAAATCCAAAATCCTCACGTGATAGTGATTCAATTCACAAAGTTGCGTTATTATTCTTACTATTTATAGCACCTATTCTATTATAAGTTTTTACTGGCCAACATGATGCATACGTTTGTGAATATTGTCACCATTTCTAGCATAAACATCTTTATGAGAAAATAACTAGACCAAAGTTGATGTATGTGGAACGTTGTGAGTTTTTTTTCATGTTGATTGTCCCAGAAAAGTGATACAATTTAGCCCTAAGCGAGGATGAGTAGTCAGAGTTTTGACATTTTCCACAATTACCAAAGAACATGTTTCACCTGCCCTCCACCACAATCTTAGTTATTTTGCAATGTTGTGATGTCACATTAATGCAACCTTTTGTAGACACAGCAATAGAAGTGGAATACAATTGTAGCACTCTGATCGCAATCCCAATAATAGTGTCATAAGTGTCAGTAGTAGTAGGTGCAGCAGGTGCCACATCAGAGAGTATTCTAGTAGTAGTATTTTTAGCAGCTGCGTGAGTAGTACTGGGAGTATCGCTGTTATGTAATGTTTTCATTCTACCTGTAGGAGGCAGAGGAAGGCTCGTGTTTTGACAGTTTTATGGCCATGTGGGATTTCTCTGACATCAGAGAGGACGTCTCAGAGCAAGTCCGTAACGTAGGTGAGTGATTGAATGTGCACTCGTACTCTCCCTCACCCTCTCTCTCACCCTCACCCTCTCTCAAGCGGAGACAATAGAACTGCTTTTCATGTATTCATTGCATTTCTCATGTTCCTGTCGCGTCTCATCAGGTCGCACGTTTCTGGGGCGTCCAAACAAGATGTACTTTGGCTCGACGGCTCGTCCTGAACACTCAGAGAACAGCGGCCTCCTCAACTCCACCTCCCAAGACGCCATCACCTCCTCCACCTCCGGAATAGTGGGACCCCAGGGGACCTCCATGCCCCCCTCTCCCACATCCAGCGGCCGATACCAGGGCTTGGGACACACACAGGCCCCTCATTCCACCTCTGCTCCAGCCGGATTCACTCAGCCCACACCCACAGGAGAAAATCATTAGACGGCCAATTTTGTGAATTCAGGAGATAGCCCTATAGTGTAACTGTTGTTTCAATGGCCCAGCTCTGAGTCGGTGTCTTTGATTTTATCATTATAAATCCAAAAAAATTTTAATTGTAACAAAACATCCACACATTTTATTATATATTATTATTTTAATATTTCCCCAAAGAGGCGTCCAGGAGGCATCAGAAACAGATGCCCGACTCACCTGAGCTGGCTCTGCTCGATGTTGAGGAGCAGAAGCTCAACACCGAGCTCCTCCCCATGTGTGACTGAGCTTTAAACCAACGCCCACCCACTCTTCTTCTGTTGCCATCTTAACCTTTTACCTTCCCACTCTCTCTTCACCACAACAATCGAATACAGCGACCTCGTCAATGCAGTCGGTCAATCCCACGCTCCACTCCTCCCTCGCTGTGAACCAGACATGAAAAAGAGGAGAGGAGCAGAGACCTCCCACAGTCCCTTGTGTTGGAGGTCCTGGTGCGTGTTGGAGGTCCTGGTGCGTGTTGGAGGTCCTGGTGCGTGTTGGAGGTCCTGGTGCTTGTTGGAGGTCCTGGTGCGTGTTGGAGGTCCTGGTGCGTGTTGGAGGTCCTGGTGCTTGTTGGAGGTCCTGGTGCGTGTTGGAGGTCCTGGTGCGTGTTGGAGGTCCTGGTGCGTGTTGGAGGTCCTGGTGCGTGTTGGAGGTCCTGGTGCTTGTTGGAGGTCCTGGTGCGTGTTGGAGGTCCTGGCTCGGTGAAGCTAACAGGATATGTGCAGAGATGACGTTCTGTGGTCCGCAAACTGGGATCCTTCTGGCTCCTTCTGGCTCCGTTATCGCTCCAACACGATTACTCAATATCCTGGAATTACTTGTGTAATATAAAGAAAAACAGGAAGTCATGTTGAAACCAATTTTATGTATAATGTTTACTGTCAAATCAGGATTAATATTGAAAGGGCCTGAGTTATATCTTGGCATTCCTGCTATCAGCAAACTTGGACAAAAGCAGGGACTAAAACAAGACTAAAGCAGGGACTAAAGCAGGACTAAAGCAAGACCAAAGCAGGACCAAAACAAGACTAAAGCAGGACCAAAACGAGACTAAAACAAGACTATAACTGGACTAGAGCAGGACTAAAGCAAGATTAAAATAGTTCCTAAAGCAAGACTAAATCAAGAGTAAAGAAGGGACTCAAGCAGGACTAGAACAATACAAAAGCAGGACCAAAACGAGACTAAACCAAGACCAAGGCGAGACTAAACAAAGGCCAAATCCGGACCGATTCAACCACACAATGGACCTGTGTTAACTGTTTATGCCCTATACTCTTTGTATCCGAGTGCTGCAGTTAGATTAATAACCATGTGTAATGTTTACTGTTAACTTAAAGGAAGTATAATTCTTCCAAGTATATTTGGTGCCAAACTTTTTCGTTGCCTTGTTTCTCCTCAACCCCCAATTCAAAAGATCTCATGGTGGATTCACTTTCTTTAACCAGAGCCATGGGGCAAGATTCAGTTTTTACAGGAACAACAAGCCTCAGGCGTAGATGTGATGAACCAAAACTGTGGATTCTGTGATGTCAAAGCCATGTTGTTGAAAAGCTACATATTTTCTAACTTGCTCAACTGAAGGGAACTATTTTTTACAAACCGTATTGTTTTAAGTTATTATGAAATTAAATCAATGTCAGATGATGTGATTTCAAGTCCTATGTATTGTTGTAAATAATAAAGATTGATGGTCTGAATTAATCAGCAATACTGATGTGATATTATTAGTTAATATGGAAAGAAAGGCAACAAGAGCAGAGCAAGAACCAATGGGTTAATATGTACAACAGCAGACATACTGTAGGTGCATCAATAGTCTAGTAATATAAGAAAAATATAATCTATTTTTATTATATTTATTGGATTTAGTTCTAATAATGACACTAATAGTCTTGGAATTCAAATGTCCCTGATGGTCTCAATCAATTCATGTGTGGGGCTTAAAGCTGGGGTCCTTAATTTTTTCTCTCATAAACAAGACATTTAGTTTGTCCCAAGATAAAGAGCCGTGTGAAAGTGACATAATACGAACAAATCAGTCCACACCATGCTGTCTTTATCTTATTAGAAAACATGTCAGCTTTTGCGTAGATAAAAAAGTCACTTGTTGATGCTTTCGGCTGAGAGCTGATTGGCTGAGTTAGGGTGGTTCCGTCTTTTTCACTTTTTTTTTAATCTGAAAAAGCTGATTTAAATATGTGACAGAGGCCAAAGTACATGCATGTGAAAACGAGTGATAGCAGTGACACGGATTTTATTTATTTACATAGTTACTAGAAATGGTTTTAAAAGTATATATAACCCAGCTTTAACCTGCATTAAAGCAGGTGCAACCTACATTTATCATATTTTAGAATAATCTGAAAATCACCCTTTACACTATGTAAATGATGACCAACGACACTGCTGTGTGCTGGTGGAAATGGTTCAACTTATAACCATAGACTACATTTATTATAACAAACAACACGAGGTGGAGCCATCCATGGGTGGAGCTAGAGCACGTGGAGCTGCACGAGATCGAAAGTGAAAGTAAAGCGATCGGGGACTTTCCAGAGTCAGATCGCGGTCACAACCAACACGAAGACGAAGGAACACGCGGATCTGTAGGTTTACATCTTTCTTATACATTGCATGGACTTCCGTTTGGTGCCAGAGTTAGCAGCTGTTTGCTCAGGCATATTTCACCCAATCTAACTTTAGCTCCATGGTTAAAATAACTGTGACGTGGCCTTTCCTGGCTTCTTTTGTAACTGCGCACGTTGTGTTTCTGAGCAAACAAAGACTCTTTTTGAATAATCATTTTATTTTTTAGAGGTTATATACACACACAGTCACACACATATGTACCAGTAGTTTTATCAACACGTATTAACATGTGGATTGAGCAACTTCCATAAACATCAAAACAAACCGCGTATATAACACTTTATTAAATGAAATGAAAAACAATGTTAAAATATGAAGTGTCTTACTCATTGATGGAGATGTCAGAATACGTTTTCAGAATAGTTACTTTCTCTTTTACTTTTATTCAGAATGGTTATCTTTTGAAACATATTAGATATAAATAACACAAGCAATACATATTTGATACAGCAATAGACGTCAAAAGGAATTGTATTATCAAAAGAAGAAAACTTGTACTTTTTCATTCGAGCAGAAATAGTTACATCCATACATGTATTACATTTACTATACACATGCATGGATATATACGTGATCAATATTTTAAGACTTCTGCAACCGCGGTGAAGTTAGTTTGAAGTTGGATATCCGACAGACATTCAACGGTCATTCCCTCTCGGTACACCTCTCCTTCTCTCTGGGTTCAGAGCGACTCGAAAGCCGCTCCAACATTTTAGTGCACCCCTACTACACACAGTACGGTAAACACGCGAAGACATGTACGCTGGTCTAATATTTACATATAAAAAAACATTAAAAATACTTACAACATTTTAATGATAAAATAAGAGGTGTACCCCCTGCAGCTAGTGGAGGACTATGATCCTGACCTGATTTGGAGTCAATAGGTCACATGACCTGGAAGCTATTGAGCTAAAATGCTAATATTTGCCTTTAAAAATTCATTAAAAATACTTAAAAATACTTAAATGACAAAAAAAGAGGTGTACCCCCTGCAGCTAGTGGAGGACTATGATCCTGACCGGATTTGGAGTCAATAGGTCACATGACCTGGAAGCTATTGAGCTAAAATGCTAATATTAGCCTTTAAAAAATCATTAAAAATACTTAAAAATACTTAAACGACAAAAAAGAGGTGTACCCCTTGCAGCTAGTGGAGGATTATGATCCTAAACTGATTTGGAGTCAATAGATCACTTGACTTGGAAATATTTACATGTTAAATAAATATTTAGAGATTGAAAATGAAAAAAGTACTTGTACTATGCAGCTAGTAGAGTAACATGATGCAACACTAGTAGGGCTACCATGAGATGACTTTATTTTTTCATCATGAAAATATATTGAACATAGCCCTGTCCCTTGTTTCTCTTCTTCACTGGCATAACACACATGCCCAGCTCTTTTCCATTGCATCCTCCAAGTCCTTGCTTTCCAACGATACACAAGAATCATGGAACCACCTGTCACAGTCATCACACTGTATCTGTTCAATTGAAAACAAAAATAAGTAGTAGTTTTTTTTCAGTTGTCATAAAAGAAATCTTATTTGTACAATGGAGCTGAAGGGTCATCTAATTTTCTCTTTTATTTTCAGAGGCTATGAGAGTAAAGTCAGAATATTACAATATTACAAGATTAATCAAAATCAAAATATTATGAGATTAATCTCAAAATATTATGTGGTCCGGTTCGGAGACCACAGCCATGGGTTCTGGTTAGGAGGCCACAGCCAGGGACCGGAAGGGGTCTGGTTCGGGGACCACAGGATTTCATCTCTGCTGTTTGCGGACAATGTTAAGTAAGTAAAATAAGTAAGTAATCTTTATTTATATACCGCCTTTCACAGACCAGAGTCAAAAAGCGGTTTACAAACATGTTGTCCTGTTGGCTTCAACAAACCAGGATGTGCAACATGCACAGGGACGGTTTGCAACCAAGTGTGAAGCGGCTGGGATGAGAATCAGCACCTCAAAATCTGAGGCCATGGTGCTCGACCGGAAAAAGGTGCATTGCCCTCTCCAGGTGGGTGGGGAGGTCCTTCATTTTGTTTGTTTTTAAAGCTTTGAATGGACTGGCCCCTCCTTACATCTCGGACCTCATCCAAATTCACCACCCGCCCCGCGCGCTGAGGTCCGAAGGCCGGCTCCAGCTCGTGGTACCTAAGACCAGACTTAAAACCCCGGGGGACAGGGCCTTCTCTGTGGCTGGACCAAAGCTGTGGAACGCCCTGCCCCCCCACGTCAAAACAGCTCCCTCGTTGGAATGTCTGATGAAGGGGAAGAAAATTGATGGATGGATAATGTCAAATT